TCCTTGCATGTGCACCAAATATTCGGATGGCGATGTGGCAGTGGATTGTTCGAGTGCCAGCTCTGTTATAGAGATTTCCTCAACTCTGACGAAGGCCTCATGGCCCACCACTCAACTCTGGTAAGCAATAATTCTCTTCTTTATTATTTTTTCTTATCCCTGTGCACCAAACCCTTATCACCGATCCAGCCTTGCACGGAAGCGACAGCTTGGTCCTCTCGGCAAAACCCTCGGCAAAAGTATTGTTTCTTCACGAGAGAGAACGCCAAGGTTGACCAAACGCAATGATTACAAAAGATCTCCCGAAAAATGCATGTGCCTTTCACATCAATGGTAATTATATATGGCATGAAGAAAACTATCGTTACAATGAAGATCTGAGTTCATATTTAGGTTCCATAGCCATTACATTTCACGATGTAGGAGAAAAACATACCGGAAAAAAACGCAGTAGAATTTCCTAGGGAATGCAAATATATTTACAGCGAGTTGAATACTACACTTCAATACTACAATACCTCTAAGGACAGATACTTCAAAGGTATATTTGCACTTAGTAGGGAATATTTCCAACGAGGAATCACATTTTCCAATCGATTTAAGATTTAAAATTATTAATGAGTAAATGACTATTTCTTCGTCAATAGATGGAATATCAAACGTTCTCATCATGGTATTTCTCTATGTAGGTCATTTCGAATGCAAGAGAATACAGAAATAATGGAACTCCCCAAAGGAATTTTCGGGGGTCTCTCCTTCAAGGCAATATTTATAAATAATAACACAGTTAAGAACATAAATCCAAATACCATGCAACCGTTGAAACAGTTCCTAAGGAATCTCGCAATTCTCGATGACTTTCTTCTTCAAAATCTTCTTGATTTCCAACATGTAGAATATCTCAGGCTCAACAACAACTTGCTGACGTCTATACCGGTCCTACAGAGCGAAAGCCTGGAAATACTTCACCTGGATGACACTAATATCACCAGTGTGGAACTCGGCGGATAGGAAACAGCCAAATTGAAAGAAATCTATTCGGTGCAGCAATTATTTGAACCTTGTCCCGGCCTTCAAAAGCGAGAGCATGGATATACTTCGTCCTGATAACAATAAGATAACGAAATTGGAGATCGACAGATGGGTGACTCCCAAATTAGAGGTACTTCGTCAGGAAAGCAATTTGTTGAGCATTGTCCCGGCCCGCAAGAGCGACAGCCTTGAAAGGCTGGACCTCGATGATAATGAAATCACAAGTGTGGAACTTGACGGATGGGCGACACCCAAATTGGAAGAATCTCTACAATAATCCCTTGCTCTCCATCCCGGCCTTAAAAAGCGACAGTCTAGAAATACTACGAGGGGTGTTCGAAAAGTAATAGGAATTTATTTATTAAACAAGAACGATTAGACCTACGGTAACAAGAGTCAGCCCATACGTAAGACAACATGTAAGCATTAGGACCTGTCAATGCCATTCAATACACTCAGTCCATTCTCCAGTTATAGGCGGTGCTGTCCCTTGCTATTTTTCTATTATGGAAGACGCGGTGAAAAATCAAAGGTCAATAATGTTCTTTTTGTGGAAGGAAGGAGTCAAAACTGTTGATATTGTCAAGCGCTTGCAGTGTGTTTTCGGAGATGCTGCTGACTCAAAAAGCACAGTTTATTTTTGGATTAACCGCTTCAAGAGTGGTCGGCAAAGCCTTGATGATGACCATCGGACTGGAAGGCCCTCCACTTCAGTTAATGAAGAAAATGTGGCAGCCGTGGAAGAGCTTGTGATGGAGGACAGGCGAGTGACCGTGCGAGAGATTGCCAGGGCCCTATGCATCAGTTTCGACTCTGTTCACTCGATTCTGCACAACCATTTGGGCATGAGCAAAGTTTCAGCGCGATGGGTACCTCGGCTGTTGGGGCCAGACCAGAAGCTCAACCGTACAGTGACATGTGGTCAGCTTGTGGACTTGGCGAAGAGGTACGGTGAGAACTTTTGGCTTCGGATTATTACTGTAGATGAGACCTGGGTGCCATACTTTAATCCGGAGACCAAATCCCAATCGATGGAGTGGCGGCGCCCTGATGAAGGCCCTCCAATAAAGGCTCGATCAAATCCGTCCGTTGGCAAGGTCATGATGACCGTTTTTTGGGATTGTCAAGGCATTATCCTCATAGACTATCTTCAGAGAGGTCAAACGATAAACGCCGAATACTATTCTGGTTTGCTGAAGGGCCCCTTGCGCACCCAACTGATCAAAAAACGCCCAGGAAAGCTCCACGCACGACCATTACTGCAGCAAGACAATGCCAGGCCCCATACTGCAAGACGAACTATTGATGCTATAGCCGATCTGCGATGGGAGTTGCTGCCTCACCCACCCTACTCTCCTGATTTGGCTCCAAGTGATTACCACCTATTCCCGGAACTGAAGAAACCACTTCGGGGCAAGCGTTTTTCTTCTCTACAAGAGGTCAAGGATGCGGTAGAACGTTGGACTAAAAGCACACCAAAGGAATTCTTTAATGATGGCCTTAGGAAGTTAGTCTCTCGTTGGAAAAAGTGTATTGCACTCCAGGGTGATTATATTGAAAAGTTAAGTGTAACTAATGATGAAAAAATATGTTGATTGGGAAAAAATTCAAAATTCCTATTACTTTTCGAACACCCCTCGTATATCTTATTGAAAATAAGAATCAAAAGGGTGAAGTTCGACGGATGGGCGACTTCGTGGGGGATACCTTCAGTCTTTCAATATCAGAAGTTCCGCATGATCATGAGGATCTTTCAGAAAATATTCAGAACAAGCTGTTCCGAGCGACTAAGAGAAAGCACGTTAGCTTAAATTTCTGTTTTTATATTTTGGATTCTTAGCCTCAAATTTTCAAAAGATTGGAAAAGAACATGTGAAACAGAAAGCGAAGTGTGAATTCCTAGAGAGTGCAAGAAAAGTATATAGACGATATTGAGAATTCAAGACTTATAAACATACTAGCTGGATTGTTAGCCCTTTCGGGCAACAAACTCACTATGGTCGCGCCTTTGGCGCTCCGCTACCTACGATAGTCATCGGATCATTAATCATTTTCCAAGTAGCGAAAACTCCTTAAAATCATTAACCCGAAGATGTCTTGCTTGCCTAAATTCTAATATCTCCATGTGCCCCTTTTCGTCAGATCGGAAAATAAATTGCTCAATATTTACATTCTATAACCTGCCCTGAGGGAGACATATTTGAAAAGTAGGATTTTTTATTCACTCAGCTATCCATAAGATCTTTCTGCATTAAGTTTCAACTTTCTATTGCTCTCGATTTTATCGAATCAGATAAAACAGGAAAATACGCTTTTGAAAAATAATGTATCCCGAGAAGCTTACGTAAAATGAACAAATTTTTACTGAGATCAGTACTCAGAGAACTAAATGACCTTGAAGATTCAACCATTTACAGTTGGCCTTTTCTCTGTTGCTAAAATGTATATGGAAAAGTCGACCCACCTATGCACTAAGGTGAGGCACCACAAAAGCTGAATTTTCCATGAACTAAACATCACGCCAGTTATGCGTGTGCCAAATTTCAACATTCTATTTCTGCGCAATACGCTAGGACAAAAAGAGTCCTCGTGAACGTCACCCCGAAAAAATATGTCCCCCAAGTGGCATGTATTATCTAATCTAAATATCTAACACTCTACATTTTTTCTGAACTGAGGTCATCAAAAGGCATGTCCATGACAAATTTCAGTTCTCCATGTGTCACCGTTTGAAAGAAATACATATACTGGTGAACATCTCCCCGAAAAAAAAGTGCTAACAGGGCAGGTGCCAACCAAGTCTTATTTTTTCTTAACTTCTCATCCCAAAAGACACTAGTATACCAGTGCAGATTTCCACCTTCTCCAGAACATGATTAGAATTCGCATCAGTCATTCAGAAAATCACGATCGTCTAAATGTATTACTTGGTTGAGAATTTCTACAAACAAAAAATAGGAAATTTCCATTTAAAAAAAACATGATTATTCAGTTCAGACTAAAATCATTTATTCACAACTGGAATGTCAATTGTAGTCAAAGAAAATGGTGTTTCTCCATGCAGGCAATTCATCATGAAGGACAATAGAGAAGTTGCGGAAATCCCCGAAGGAATCTTTGGGGATCTTTCATTCATGCGTATATGGATGAACAAAACTGCAGTGAAGAAGATCAACCCATCTGATTTACTGGGGCTGAAACACGTCCTGACGTATATCGCCATTCTCCAGAGTCAAATAGAGAACTTTCCATTACATATTCTTCATGAATTCCCACATCTCAAAGAACTTTGGTTATACGACAATAAATTGACCTCCGTCATAAATTTCAGAAGTAACAGCATAGAGATAATTAATCTTAATAATAATGAGATCACGAGAGTGGAGTTCGACGGATGGAACACTCCAAAATTGAGGGAACTCTATCTCTCTGAGAATATGTTGACATCTGTCCCGGCTTTCAAGAGCGACAGCCTTGAAATACTCAGCCTCAATGACAATCATATGACCGACGTGGAATTCGACGCATGGGAAACTCCCAAATTGAGAGAACTCTATCTCAATGACAATGCTTTGACCTCACTTCCGGCCTTCAAAAGCGAAAGCCTGGAAGTACTTCGCCTCGATAACAATGCGATCACCATTATGGAATTCGACGGATGGGCGACCCCCAAATTAAGAGAACTCTATCTCAATAACAATTCGTTGACCACATTCCCACTTTTTGAGAGTGAAAGTCTGGAAATACTCGGCCTCAATGACAATCAGATCACAAGTGTGGAGTGCGACTCGTGGGCAACTCCCAACTTGAGAGAAATCTATCTCGAAAATAATTTGTTGACCTATGCCACGAATATAAAATGCCACAGCCTTGAAATACTCAGTTTATTTGGCAATTACATCACCAATGTGGAGTTCGACGCATGGGCAACTCCCAAATTGAGAGAACTTTACCTCAATAACAATGCTATGTTCTCCGTTCTTGCCTTCAAAAGCGAAAGCCTGGAAGTACTTCGCCTCGATTACAATTTGATTTCCAGCGTGGAGTTCGACGGATGGGCTACTCCCAAATTGAGAGAACTTTACCTCAATAACAATCCTATGACCTCCGTTCTTGCCTTCGACGGATGGGCTACTCCAAAGTTAAGGCAACTCCATCTTTTCGGCAATTCTTTGACCACGTTCCCTGCTTTTCAGAGTGAAAGCCTGGAACTACTCGGCCTGAATGACAACAAGATCACGAGTTTGCAGTTCGACGGAAGGGGTTCACCCAAATTGAGGGAACTCTATCTCAATGACAATTCCTTGACCACTATCCCGGCCTTAAAAAGCGACAGTCTCGAAATACTAAATCTCAATGATAATAAGATCAAGAGGGTTGAGTTCGACAAATGGGCAACTCCCAAATTAAGAGAACTCTATCTCAATAACAATTCGTTGACCACATTCCCACTTTTTGAAAGTGAAAGTCTGGAAATACTCGGCCTCAATGACAATCAGATCACAAGTGTGGAGTGCGACTCGTGGGCAACTCCCAACTTGAGAGAAATCTATCTCGAAAATAATTTGTTGACCTATGCCACGAATATAAAATGCCACAGCCTTGAAATACTCAGTTTATTTGGCAATCACATCACCGATGTGGAGTTCGACGCATGGGCAACTCCCAAATTGAGAGAACTTTACCTCAATAACAATGCTATGACCTCCGTTCTTGCCTTCAAAAGCGAAAGCCTGGAAGTACTTCGCCTCGATAACAATGCGATTTCCAGCGTGGAGTTCGACGGATGGGCTACTCCAAAGTTAAGGCAACTCCAACTTTTCGGCAATTCTTTGACCACGTTCCCTGCTTTTCAGAGTGAAAGCCTGGAACTACTCGGCCTGAATGACAACAAGATCACGAGTTTGCAGTTCGACGGAAGGGGTTCACCCAAATTGAGGGAACTCTATCTCAACAACAATTCCTTGACCACTATCCCGGCCTTAAAAAGCGACAGTCTCGAAATACTATATCTCAATGATAATAAGATCAAGAGGGTGGAGTTCGACAAATGGGCGATTCCCAATTTGAGAGAACTTAATCTCGATAACAATATGTTGTCCTCAATTCCGGCCTTTGAGTGCCAGAGCCTGGAGCTACTCGCTCTCCGGGACAATAAGATTACAAGTGTGGAGATCGATAGATGGGTGACTCCCAATTTGAAAGAACTCGATCTCTACAACAATTCCTTGTCCTCTCTTTCGTCCTTCAAGAGTGACCGCTTGGAAATACTCAGTCTTAGTTACAATATCTTCACGAGAGTGGATTTCGACGGATGGGCAACTCCCAATTTGAGGGAACTCTGGTTCCACAACAATTTCTTGACCTTTATCCCGTCCCTCCATAGCTACAGTCTTAAAATCCTCTGTCTTTACAACAATAAGATTGGGAGTGTGCAGATCGATGGATGGGCGACGTCGAAACGGATTCTATTCGGCATTGGTGAGTATTGATTTTTTTGTGCCGTTTCATCCACCCAGTCGCCTTGTTTCCTGTATACTATCTTTCCGCATGCGAAATTCATTTCCGCAAACAAATTATGTAACTGATGCCTGGCAACTTCCCTGTTCCGAATATGGATGTTCCAATTTACATTAAGCGAATTCTTTGTATTCATGTCATGTAATGGTCTTCGATTAAAAAAATAATGTTTTCCATCCTATCCACTATATTAAATAATGTTGCTTATGCATCTATGTTTTGTGACACATTCTTGGAAAGTAAGTCATAAGTGTTTGTAAAACGGGTGACTTGTGAAATCTGTTTCCACCCACTTTCAATTGGCAATATTTGCAAAACTATCTTAATTTGATTTGTAAAAATAATAAAATATTACTTACTTCAAACGTGTTTACTTCGAATTAATTTGTAAATAAGCCTGGGTTTTATTTTATTGATATGTATTTTCCCTTTCTTTGAATCCGTGAAATTGCTGAATTTTTTGTTTTGGAATTCTTTTCATTGTATCCGCTCTTAAATTTAATAGTTTTTCAAAAATGCCATCTATTCATGTATCTCTTGGTTTAATTTGGCATATAGATTATACCCAATTTAATAATAATTGACAACTTTTGTCATTTTCCCAAAAATAATGGAGGAATTAAAAGATTATCTGAACATCCCATCATAGACTTTCATAATCTTTTCCGTATTGATTCAAGAATGCCTAGGTTAATGCAGAAAATAAGTATTTTCTCCTCTTTTCGTCTAGTTACATATATATTGGTTTTTAAACATGCACATTTTCTGACTATTCTGTGAGACATTTTTCAAACATTGAATTATTAGCTTTTGTGAGCACCTTTTTAATATTAATGTCATGTGATGATTTATTCATGTACGTGATATTCACATCCTGCACCTACGTAATGATCACTTTGCATAGCATGTGAAAAATGCTTTGTCATGGTTTCCATATGATAATGAAAATTTGCATGTTAAATAGCAGCCAAATAATCATTTGGATGGGAGGTCCCAATATATATATATTTTTTTTTAATCCACGAATATGACCTGAGAGGCTCTGCCTGATTTTAATTGGAACCACCCAAAGCACTTTCCTGACTGGAACCTCCTGAAATCGTCTCCATCCGAAAGTCTTGCAGCATCTTGCCGTAAAAGAGCGGAACTCATTTCTTCTCGAATTGAAGTCAATGATATATTCCTATTTCTCTGTGCACATTTTTGTGAGCTATTTCATTTTTCACCGTTGTAGCTTTTTTTTCCTGCTCCAAACATTCGATAATATGGAATGTGCTGGTGGCATTTTATGCAACATTAGTTCGTAGTTTGCTTACCCTTCAGGAAACAATCTCCATATGGTCACGCCTACGGATCTCCATTATCTAGGATAATGATTAATTCATTTGCAATATCCGGTATGACCAATCTAGCAAAATACCTGGGGTCATAGGTCATAGGGATCATATATTTATGGCTCAGTCAAGTTGCTTCCCGCTAAGTGACGTTATTGGCAAACGAACAAACAGAAGTCTTTATCTTCTTAAAATAGACGAACAGAGAGGTACATCTCTATCGTATCAAAAACATCTATACCCACTCCTATTCTTGAAAATAAAATTTATTGAAAACGTGACGCACCAAGTTGAAATGAAGCTTCAAAAAAACAGTAATCTCTTTCTAGTAATCTTTTCTGGATAATCATAACTTAATTTCAGTCTTCTGTACTGCCCCCTTGCCGTCCGTAATTATAATTTTTGCCAAAAATCTCTACTCAATAAGTATGCCCCAATGGGATAAGTGTGGAAATAGGAGTTATTTACTAAACATGCTTTGGGTGCAAGTACCTTTCTGCTTATTTTTCAATAAAAAAGAATTAGGCGTTTTTTGGAGTTACCTTAAAAATAAAAAAACTCCAATGTGTATCCCAAGAATTGCTGGATTACAAAATATCATTTATCTGTTCTTCCCCTGTGTAGTTCCTTGCAATGAAAATGTCTTTATTAGCAAGTCACAGAAAAAAGAAAAATCCCTTAGGGATAAACCTCACAACTAACAACATATTAATATTAGTTTCGAGAGAAGCACTTGTGTGACAAATTTCTGCTTTCAATTTTTACGTTTTTCTAAGTGTCAAAAAGTTATTTAAAGTTCGTCCCTGTCGAAATACGTACCATGAGCGGATTTAATCGAGATTCTTAGTGGAATCATTTCTCCGATGATTTCTTAGGTGTATAAGTTCAGATCTCTTTATATGTTCCATTTATCAGAGTGAAAAATTAAACTTGAAATACTCCCCACCCATAATCTGCCCCGAGGGGACAAATTTCAAACGCAGGAACTATTCTTTACAGTGCAATCCCTAAGGTACTTGTGTACCAAGTTTCAACCTAATATCGCTCTGCATTTCGTTGGATCAAAAAATATCCTGGATAATGAGCCTCTTAAAGAAAATGTGCCCAGAGGGGATTTATCTAAAAATAAAACTTTTGTCAGTGCTCAGAGAACAACATGCCCACCAAGTTTGAACATCATATTTCACCTTTCCACTGGTGGATGGGTGAAATATGAGGATTGCTAACATTCCAAAAAAAAAACCCTTTTTAAAAGCCGACCCACCCAGAAGCTATGCCATGAAGGGATGCGCAACGATAGTTCAATTTTTTCCTGAACTCAACATCACGTCAGTTATGCATGTGCCATGTTTCGCCTTTCTATTTCTGCCAAATTTGCTAGGACAAAAGAAAATCTTTGAAAACGTCACCCCCAAAAAATGTGCCTCCTGGTTTTCCATTAGAAACTTGGTATTTTTCATGTCTCATTGGGCATGTCAATGTAAAGTTTCTGCCTTCCCCCAAACACCGATTTTTCTGACAAACTTCCCAATAGCTACTTCTTTATCAAGTTTCATATTTCTAGCTTCTCTAAAGCTGATAGTTTTAGCGTCAGTAACTCAGTCACTATCGTCTATATATACAGGTATTAGAAGTAATAGATGTCTGGAGGCTTTTCCGCCATTGTCCTTTTCTCCCTCATAAATAGTCGGAACCAAAGAGAGACTAAGATGGGAAGTTTCCAATCAACTCCATCTTATATTAATTCTTAGTTTAAAAGGAACTTTCCAAAAAAAATTTGAAAAGAGAGCAAAACGGATCCTCAATGCAACACACTACTACATACAAGCACAAATACTAGCATACTGTGCGTCAAGACGTGCATTCGCCGGAATGCCGCGGATTCAATGAGTATCCTCGAGAAACACTATTCACAATGAAATTCAACGACCCATCTGGAGTCAGATGTTACATTTGATGCTTGAATGATAGTCTTCGCACATTTTTAATTCCTGGAAGCCTTAGCGTAGCTGGTCGTGCAGCTTTTCCTCATCTCATCTCGTTTGGCGTTCATACAGCAACCAACCTTCTGCTGAAGATTCTTATTGCAGCAATCAAGGGCATGAAGAATCTGGAGAAGTTCGATTGTTCAAAGTGCAGTCTGGGTCTGACCCCTTCACGAGGTCTCCTGGAATCCCAGAGCAAAGCCTTGAATCTCGTAGCACTCTGGTGCAACAATATCTCAAAACTGGATCAAGGAGTTATTGTAGGCGGGTCCGAAGTGACTTAAGGTTAACGTTCCGATTTATAAAGATTCCGTTGACTCCCTGAAAATGCAATTACTTTAATATGACAACCGAGGTCGGGAGAGATAAATAGAGATGGGGATCTCGAAGGATGAAGGGGAAAGTCATACAGGCTGGTTGATCAGCTTCCTACACAATATACTGTATTGGAAATACGATACCTGTGTCATTGAGTTGGGAACAAAATAGACCACTGTCACCAGAAAGCCTGGCCCATTACTCCCTGGGGGGGTGTTGTCCCACCATCGAGGTGGGACGAACACCGTGTTCCACAGACTACATGACTGCCGATCCGACAACTCACTTGGCAACAACCCTGCGACTCTCCCGCGCGGCCCTTTTACCACGTTACGTCGTACATGCGTATTAACGTTTACGTTTACAGATGCTCAAAATGTTTTGTTATTAATTTTGTATTTAGCGCACAGAGCCGAGGCGAGTACATACCGAGTCTGTTTGCCCGAGGGCAAACAGACTCATTTGTATCCACATATATAATACGCAGTTTACCAAATCACTTAACCATGAAGGAGAAATCGTGTGAAGGTGAGAGTGGTCTCATATTGATTGTCATGGTTTAAAAACTTGCACACAAAAATAATGTGTTATTTGATTTATTAAAAGATTAATAACTATATTTCCTTGGTGTTACCTTTTTAATGCTCTCTTTTGGATCGGATTAGGCAGTCTCTTCGCTCTCAACGATGCCCTTTACACCTGATTGCTAATTAAATTTTTCTTACTGTTAATTAACAATTATCCATAAGGGAATAACTTCCGACACGTCGAATGGTGCATGTGATATATCAATCAATCAATCGCAAGCTATTGATGAGTAGATTGCGATGGTGCATATTTTAGCTGCGAAAGATGAGAAAAGAAGCAGTAATTTTAATATGTATTCGCGTTGAGCTGAGGAGGAGAATGCCCGTTTTCGTTGGAACAGAAACCCTTATATATAGGCAAGCGTTTGGTTTGTGCTGGGTTCGGTGGTGTAGTGGTAGCGCAACAGACCGAGAAATAGGAGGCCCGAGGGTCGCCTGAAAGGCGTTCGAAAAACCAAAATGCATCTATAGCTGAGTCGGAAGGGTGTTTTGAGTGGCCTTGCATCGTCTTGACACATGTTAACCTCCGTGTTCCACTTCATCGTGAAGAGGAAGCCCCCTCCCCCTTCCTCCCCCCATGAACCCTCAGGGCAATGCATTGACAGCCGAGGGATTCACACGCAACCGCCTGAGTGCATGGCCTCTTCGCCACTTCACCTTCCCTCCGACTCGTGCGTCTCGAAGGGATAGGGTACATTGGCGAATGAAGTAAGAACGAGTCCAGTTTCATACGGTGTTTGTTTTCCGCTTGGTGCGTTGGTGGTGAAACACGTATCGCCAATATGAGACCCGACTGTCAACTATGGATATGTAACAGTCCTTAAAGAATACATGAATTCCTATGGGGAGAAAAAGAGCTTCTTCGCTAAAAGCCCCTTTGTCTCCCTTAAATGAGGTTCGTGCATTTGGGCTTTAAGCTCAAAAGCCACTATATTCCCACATTAGGACATGCAAGGCAAATTTCGATGTGGCCGAAGTTCATCACGAAATGTTCAATGCGGCAGTAGTGCATAATATACCTGACCTCTACACGCAAAATCAAATTAATGCATTTTCGTCGAGAAAAAAGTTGTCCTCCATGTGATGCGTTTTTATCGCATCCAACATTTGATGCGATAACCGCATCCAAAATTCAATGCAATAAAGACGCATCACATGCAGGACAGATTTTTTCGCGAGAAAAATGCATCGAACTGAGGCACTGAATTTTCTGTGTGTAGGCTTGCNGAGAAAAATGCATCGAACTGAGGCACTGAATTTTCTGTGTGTAGGCTTGCACGAAAAATGTAATATGTTAATTTATTATTTGTTTTAAAAGTTAAATAGTTTTCCCCCTATGCTACTTCTTCAGTGCTCCCTCTTGGATCGGATTACGCAGTCTCTTGGATCTCTACGATGTCCTTTACATCTGCTTACTCATTGAATTTATTTTACTGCTAATTAAAAATTATCCTTAAAAGAAAATACAGGGTGATACAAGAAACCTTTACAATTTCAAACCGTAATAAAAAAGAATGAATGGATATATTAATAGATGCATCGGTTGACTAGACAAGTTGACCTCTTAGGCCTTTGATCTAACTTGAGAAAAAATATTTATCGGCCATACAAATTTTTTTCGTCCGTGCCAGCGCCATGAAGGGCCTTGCCAAAACAATGAAGACTAAACCAAAAGGGCATAAGCAAACTTGATTCGAGTACAGTGCACATGCACGGGAATGTAGGAGCACAGCTAGCAGAGACAATGGCCTGGGCGAGGCGGTTCACATCCCTGCTCCAGAATGTCCACGTAGAACGTAACCATTATATTAACACATTTTTACAGTTTTTCCCGATTGCTAAAGCCTTATTTCATATCTCAATGGACATTTTTCAAAACTTAACGTACGATCCGCAAAATGCTGCACTCTTTTCTCATATCTATGTGTCCGGCAGTCAAAAGGGCGTCCCTTTGTCAAAATCAAAGTACGTTCTTCAATATTCTAACGTACGGGGTGAGGAACGTCTATGGACAGCCAAAAAGCAGGCCGGGAAAATAATTCCTCCGAATACGGAAAGGCGATAATGTGATAATGTAAAACTTTCAAACCTTAACGTACCCGTGTCGAAACTGTGCGTACTGCTGTCGAGATTCAATTTCCGCTCTCCAAAAGGGCAACAGAACGTCCTACGATCAATTTCTAACGTACCTGAAGTCAAAACTTAACGCACCATCGGCAAAACTCAAAGGACGATCCATTGCAGTGAATGGGAAGGCGAGGAGTCTCGCGGATCGATGCCCGCCCTGTCAGCCATACAAAGCGAAACCGATCAGAACCTCCCCAATGTCTTTAAATGGAGCATACGTTACTTTTTGAGGCAAGGACGTTAAGTTTTGACGCGAGTGCCTTAAATTTGCTCTAAAGGACACCAGCAATGTATTCTATCAGAAAGTTTGTTTCGGTGAAGGACGTGTAGCACGTATGCTGTATGACAATTTTAAATATAATTAATGGCGCTATATCTGGCCGATGGTGTGTTAGTGCCGATAAACAGAAGTCATTTCTCTATTAAATTCGTTCAAGAACTATTTTTACAGTTTCGCAGATCATACACCTAGGACCTCTTGTCCTCAACGTCTACTCAGACAAATAACACAATATACCTGTAGGTTCGGTTCTTGAATGGAAATGTATTTGCCGGGTGTTTTAACAGTGATTAACCAGGTAAAGTCGATCCAGATTTAATCCTATGAAAGCCATCCAACAGCCCATAGAGATGTTTCATGTGAGATATTTGGAGGAGGTGCTGCTCGAAAGCACACAAATTAACCCCCTCCCATTCTTCTCCTCTCGCCTTCGTTAAACGGGGAATTGCACATTTCTGCACCACAAAAGATGCCTCTGGGATCACGGTTTCTGCCTGTTGGCTTCATTTTTCCACATTTCCCATTTCCTTTCCACATCCTAAAAAAAGTCAGACTGTTATTGTGAAAAGTCACTTCTTGACTTATGTCATTAGGAAGCGGATTTTTATAAGCTAATAAGCCCTAAAATATGCACATGCATATGCGCTAAAAAAAAAAATGGAAAATATGCATGGAATATGCACAAAAATTGAAAAATATGCAAAATCATACTTTTTTTAAACGCAGTACGAATTTTTAAGTGAAGGAAATTCAAGGTACATTACATGCCTCTACTGAGTATAGTTGATCTATTCTCGTGACAACCAGCGGCGAAGTCAGGAATTCGCCAATGGAGCGCTAAGGGAAACGAACAGAGTCTATTTTTCGAAACTCTTCGAGAGGGATGGTGGTAGCGGATGGATTTAGAACAGAGTTTCCAGGGATTTACCACTCTAGCCAGCGCATAACAGCCTGAAATTTGTCATAGATTGCACTATGAACGAAAATGGGCCCCAAGGTCATACAACTTTTGTAACCTGTGGCAAACAAAAATGACCATAAAATGGCTGACGGATGTGATCAGCTCAAGGCAATAAGCAACAATTTTCACCCATGCACGACGTACGTACTCCTGAAGCAGCCAACGAGGCTAAACTCGGGGCTGCAATTCCATATGGCAAACAAAAATGACCATAAAATGGCTGACGGATGGGATCAGCTCGAGGCAATATGCAAAAATTTTCACCCATGCACGACGTACGTACTCCTGAAGCAGCCAACGAGGCTAAACTCGGGGCTGCAATTCCCTTTTCAACCCTTTTTAGCTGGAAGTAACAGAAGTCATTCGTAAGTAAATACTCAAGATCAGGTATTTAGGATACTACTGAATCGCAGCATCAGCATTATTGCTTGTCAATTACATTTTTGCATCGACGTAAGAAATTCTTTCAACGTTTGAGACGAATCATTTAGCTCTGATAACTCTAAACGATGAGAAAATCTTTGTGAGTGGTCGGAAGGGACCTGTTGGAGCATAGGCCAATGGATTGTAGTCGTCAGCCATGCATCCATCTATGGCGCTCGTCGAATCGGCCTTCTTATCCTTTTCCGTACGTTAAGTTTCGAAAAAGGTCCGTGAAGATATGAAAATCGCACTTCGAGTTTCCCTTTTCGTACACTAGCAATGAAATCGGATGTTAAGTTTTGTGAAAAGATTGCAGAGTTCAGGGATTTGTTCAAATTGTTTTGAAAACAGAAGTGTAGTTTTGAGAAACGGACGTTAGCAATTGGGAAAAGCTGTATTATGCACTCATATTTCAACTCTTTCGGCTGAAGGATATATCTCTGTAACATATTCATACAGTATTTTCATGAGATATATAGCTTGCAACATTCTCCGGGTAGTGCACTCCACCACAGGTCACTACGTTCCGCCAGCCACTGTAAGCGGATGGAGAAAAAGACCATCTGATAGCGTATTCGCCTGCACCAAACAAGAAATTTGATTGCCAACGGAGCTGCCCGTCAAATCTGTGTGTCAGATCGATCCAATTGAGTTCATTCGCATCTCGTGCCTAGCCTAAAATCACACCTTTTATGCAATTCCTGGGTGTTCGAAACTTCAACTACGTGCCTAACTTGAATGCTACAAGGCGGGTATGACTGAGAATTTGCGTACACCCAGTTAATGGTTGCTATTATTCATCCAAAGTGTGGCACTTTGAAATTCGAACGTTATCCCTTTAATAATGTATTTTCTCTTACTGCTAATTACAAATTAGACCTGATGTATTAATGTCTGTTGAAACGTTGTTACCAGCGAAGCGAATCCCGTGGGACGCAGGTGTGGTCTATTATAGGTATAATACGCTAATGTATGTTTGTAAGTCACGTTGCGACGTCATGCTAATAAATATCCTGGCATGTTATGCGTTGTTCGAAAGCTTATTGCGAGTTGGTGTGCACCGTGTAATCCGATTTAAAATATCATAAACCTAGGATGAGTTATAAGGTATCAAATTGTTCAGTATTATGCTAACCCTGGTGGAGTCCTGCACTGGCCGATTTTTCTGTACCCGACCTGGTAGGCCCGATTCAACTCATGGCCAGCCCCGAATTCCAGCCCTATTTCGCTGCTCGCACCGGACTTGACCCGAAGAAGGATTTTCGACAATTCAGCCCTTGACGGCCTGTGGGTCGGGTTGGGTCGGAAGGGGGCAATTGGACCGGGCCACGTACTGTGCAGGGCTCGAACCCCAGGTCCTTCCAATAGCGAAAGCAACTGCTGTTTTACCCGCAAAAATATGTGATTCTTCCTTTACTCCCTGGAATGAAACAGTCTACAGAGCTGCAATGTTTGCTCAATAGTGGAAAGTCATAACATTGTTGTCAGCTTCGTCAAAATAACGCGTTTACAAAAAGTGCGCGTTTGTTTACTTGTTTGCGTGTTTATTTGCTTGAGTCACTAAATTTTACTGACTATTCGACAAAGACTTGGTATAAATGTGCGATATGGAGCATGGAAGAAAATCTATTACATGGCCGACAGTGTGGTTTCGGATAACGAGGAGCAAAATAATTATCCGATGGAGTTCATCAAAAGCCTCACTCCAGCTGAGCTTGCTTCCCATTAATTGACTTTAAAGCGTGGTATAATCGCCATAGTCATTAGAAACCTAAATGGTAAGCAAAGTCCGTCGATGCCTCACAAGTTCAAAGGGCGACAGTTTCCAAGCCATCTTATTGTTGCAATGACTATCAATAAGTACCAAAGCAAACATTCAAACGAATTGGATTTTAACTTTTTAAACTTTTCATTCACCAAGATGTGCTCTTAGCTTTTTCAAGAGTGCGCCGCTTGCAAAACGACAATCTAAAGACAGAGCCAGGACCCCAAATAAGGCCGATGCCCAGCCAACAATGACACAAACAGAACATCGTAATCCCTAAGGTTTCGAATTGAAGATACTGCAGTTTTTTAAGTCAATTTCAAACATTCAAGATAAAAAATATTTACATATTCTTCAATGAAAATCAAGAGACAAAAGTTTATTATTACTTTTCTATGGTGGTCTTTAGACCATATGCCTTCAGGAAATTAAATTTTTCCGAGAAAATTTTGAAATCCTACTTTGTCATTTGGAACCTAGTGATGAATATGTTATCCTGTTAGTGTCACTAATGTACAGATCTATCTTTGAAAAGAAGGCATTGCTTTCTAAGAGACCCTCTTATTATTATTATTGTTATTATGCAGATGTGCTAATAACTTATGAGGCGAGATTATGGGCGAAATCAAATAAGTTCCACGACTTTCTAATTTTGTTCGTGGGGTGGACTGATAATAATGTGAATTGGTGTTCCAAGTCTGCTGCTATACCTCGTATGGTTGAAAACTTTAAATATCTCTTTTCAAATTTTGAATTATTTCACATTTTGCCATAACTGTTATTCTGAAGATTTCCTTCGCATGCAAAAAAAATAACTCCAAAGTACAATTCTCTTCTATTCTGTTGTATAAAATTCATGGTTATATTGGGCGATTGGACTTGCTTTCCTCATTCATGTGAAGCCATTATTATGAAAATATTGAAGCATTTGTCAACCTTTAGCAGAATGTAGTCAATTGAGAATATCGCAGCGTGGTTTTGAGGGCTGACAAAGACATGAAATGGGCACATTCATGCTAAGTTACGGAAATATCCCTTCCCAGCTTCAAGAAAGGCAGGAGGCACTTTTATGCGTGAGAGCAGCAAGGGAATGTGGGTTGTACTGTTCGGGCGCTTGGGTCGAAACCCGGCGTCATGTCTCATACAGAATGACCGATACGATGGGCGACATGATATGGGTAAGGCAACAAAGATAACTGCATCAGTCTCACCCGTTCCAGACTCAGTGGAGGAGCTCAAAGCGCTCGCCGTCATTTTGTGCAGAAGTACGTGACAGTGACCAGACATAGTACAGTTCACTCTACTCTGTGAAAGAGGAACGGTGGCTTTCCCTCTCTGGCTGGCGAGCTCGCTTCCGAGAGCGACCAGCCGCACTGCCCCGCTGAAACTTCACTTAAGATAAGCTGCTGCACTTCTAAAATGAATATCATTATTTTGGTATACCTCGTAACTTTACATGCATATGTTCATTTGATACGATTGTCAGCTTTCAAAACCTCACGGCGATATTAAAAACCCATTGCGACTCACAAAAAATCGAAAAATGTTCCAATATATTTCTGAACAGAGTGTATTGGGTGTCATTAAAACTTTTACAAGGAAGTCTGAAGCCGGTCTGAACACTGAGGACGATTGCGTAGTTCTGGGTATAGACCAGTAGCACAACTCTTGACAACAGGCACATTGTGAATTGTTACTTTGTTTCTGGCGGAGAAATACCTTACTTAAAGCATTCAAGCTTAGCAGAACCAGGTGCAGAGATAATTCATTGGCATAACTACAAAACATGTTGATCCTAGACAATTTCTTCGGAAGGTGGCTCTAAAACTTTTCGATTCCTTTCTCATGACTTCCGGGGTTAAACAAGCAACCATCAATTCAATGATATCCCCAAAAGAAGAATTTGATCTTCCAGTCAGTTCACCACATGACGTTTTTAATTTGCATTCCAGGTCTACGACCTGATACGGAGGTTAATCTGACCAACAACGAAATCGTTGTATTGTCTGAGGAGAACTTCCGCCCTATGTTGAACATCCTCTCGAAGGGTGATGGAATCCTCCATTTAGACGGTGAGTTCCATGGTTTCTCACCACTGAATTGTGTCTTGGGTTTCTTCGTCCCTTCATTAATCTGCGCAATTGCACTTTTCCTCCTGCTCCCATTCCAGACAATCCTATCCGATGCGATTGTGGCATTGCATGGCTGGTTCGCAATCAAAAATTTCTCAGGAAAATTTCTGGGAAGTGCCACAATGGAACCGAATTCCATGATTTGAATTTAGAAGTTATGAAAGATTGTGATAATCTATGTCCGTACCATTGCGTTAAAAACCAATGGTCATCTTTCTGCAAGCCGGGGACAGTGTTTCCTTCGAAAGTGGGTAACTGTCGCTTCGATGAAGTATGCTGCAAGTCATCCTTTGCAACAGCCACTTCAACAACTCCTGCATCACGTCCAGAGAAACCTCTGTGTCCATCCGAATTTTCCTGTGTAAATGAAGAATATGCTAGTCTTTGTGACCAGCACAGTGTAAACCCTTTTTTTAGCTGTCCTTCAGCAAAACATATATGCTGCAAGATCGTTCCTAATAATGGACAAGGGCAACCATGCCCATTCACCCATGTGTGCATTCATCGCTCAGATATAAGCAAATGCGATCCAGGAACTGAGATCTCAAACGCATCATGCATGGGAAATGGAGTGTGCTGCATCGTGAAGATCGTCTCGCAGAATTTCGCCTCCTTCCAGCCATCTGGATCCAAAGGTAACGTCCCCAATGACAATTCTTCCAGCAGCCACCTACAGGTATTGATAACGTAACAAAGCTACCCGAAACCATTAGTTTCCAATCCGAATGGAAGATGACTCTCACTAGACCTAGATATCCCCGCATTTACGGAATAGTGATGCTTCGGAAAACGTAGTTTTTATTGTCAGGAAGAGAGGTCTCTCTATTTGTTTCCCCTATTGGATACAGGGGAAATGAAAAGCACGACAGCTGCTTCTTCCTATCGGGAATATAATTGAAATAAAACCATTCATGCAGTGCTTCACCTATATCTTCTAAACTCCCTGCCTGATGGCGGCCTGCACCATCTCGGACAGCGAAAAGTATATTAAGAAATGCAGGACGCACTCTTCCACTCCTCTTACTCTCTCTTTGAGAAAAGACCCCATGATGATTCCATGACAAAATCAATCAATGGGTTACACCCGGCCATCTCAGATTAAGATGAAATTATTTATGCAAGGTTATTGTGTCCGAAAACTCGTAAATCTATCATTTCAGCCCCATCGGGTAAATAGGTCGAATGCTACTGGGTGGTCAAAATGTAGTGTCACCTTCTAACCTCCGATTTTGATATCCTTGCGCCTGAATAACTATTTGTACTAGAGCCTTGACTATGGTGTCAATTCACTGGCCATTGCTTGAAAATGTCAACATTTGAATTAAAATCTCATTTAACCAAAAAGCACACTGTTATTCGTGGACAAACAATTTGACCTTTGATCTTAGCATGAAACCCCAAATTAAAAAATCTCAAAAAATATAATGGGAAGGTCAACGACTCTCTAACTGATATTTAAGAAATTGCAGAGATAATATTTTTTGTATTCCGTCAATAAGTTTTTGAATCAGAAGGTCCCTACCACATATGAGGCATTTCGGCTAAAGAAATCTAAATCGTGGTTCCATGCGCGGCTGGGATTTCGTTGCAAAAATTCGTGCATGATGACCTCTCTGAGATAACAGGCATTCCAAATTTCTGCTCTCTATTACAAACGGTTTAGAAAATTCTGAGCCCCAAAGTTTGCCCCCAAGGGGAAAAGTCACCCTAAAGTTCAGACGTCTATCCTTGGCCCTAGTTGAGCCAGGAAGAAAATGTTGGCCTCAAATGAAATCTGAGACTAAGCTTCATCCGATTTTACATGTTTTCGCTCCTCGTAGTTAACCTTATTTAGTAACAAATTTGATACGGAATTTTCTTAATTTTTATTAAGTATGGGTTTCATAGTAACACAATGAGCTACTGTTATGTCAAAATTGAACCTAACATGAAGCACTACGAACTAAAATATCAAACAAGTGCAATGAAAGTTTCCATGACTCTGCTAGTGATACGTAAAATTAAAAATGAGTAATTTTTTCAATATTCCGTCAGAGAATTTTTAAAATCAAATATTCCTCCGACATATGAGGCATTCTGACTCAAGTAATCGAAATCATGGTTGTGACTGCGACTGGGACGTCGTTACAAAACTTGATGCATGATGAATTATATTTCTTCGTAATTTGAATGCTGTTTTATGACATATTTTGTTTCAAAACTTGCCATTTAACGTTCATTACCAATATTTAGCAAACCTCCGAAACATAAGAATCCTGTTGACAACCAAACATAATCCACCAGAGATCAATGAACAGCTGTAGTTCATTTATCACACATTGTTTACGCATGAGATAATTAAAGCCTGAAATTCCTTCCGATTCCTGAAATTACTCTTTCTTTCCTTTTTTACAGGGGGTAGACGCTGGTGAATATGTCTGAGTAATACCAATTCTCTATGTAGTTGACAGTAAAATCTTTTCGTCAGGCTCAGCACTCAGACTTGCATGTTTCAGACTTGCATGAGTAGTCATCAGAAAAAGACGCTCTAGTTTTCATCACGAGTATTTTCTAAAATAATACACATCGAATCTGGAATTATGGCTTACAAAAGCACAGAATATTTGGGAGTTTTTAATTATGAAAACACATTTTGAATGTGGGAGCCTCCAGCATCTATGATCCTCTGCAGGCATTCACCGAGGTCAACGATAACCACGAATAGTGTTTGCTGATTAATGCATCCCACGACAGTTCTGATTTCAGCCTTCAATTCTTCGACCATATGTGAGTTATTCCTGGAGACATTAACCTTAAGAAGTCCCCATAAAAGCAATCACAGGTATTAAGTTCAGAAGAGTACGGTGTTCTTGAACATCCACATCTGAAGCGACCGCGATATCCCTTCTTATTGTTATTCGCATTACCAGTGTTTACGAATTTTGTTACTGACCTGTTAGGCAACCGGTCTGGTTTACGGGTAAAATCAAAGCTCTCATGAGGGATAAAAAGCGGAAATGGGATACGTACAAGCGGACGGGAAATAGCTCGGAC